ACGGACAGACGGACAGACGGACAGACGGACAGACGGACAGACGGACAGACAGACGGACAGGGCCAAATCAACTCAGCTCGTCACCCTGATCAAGAATATATATACTTTGTGGGGTCTGCCACGCCTCCTTCTCCCTGTTACATACATTTCAACAAAACCATTATACCCTGATTTCCCATTGAAAATGGGTTCAGGGTATAAAAAAAAAGAGCTGGCATTGGCTTTCACTGTGGCTATTCTTAGTCCTATTTAACGATTGCCGCTGACTTCGCATCATATATCTCAACAGCTCATATCACATATCACATATCTTCTGTCATGTGACTGTGGCAACGCTTGAACCAATTTCTTGAGAACAGTTTGCCAAGAGTATATTTGTTTGTCAGCAAGGAATTTAGACTTAATAGGTTACAATGACAAGAGCTTGTCGTAACGAACCCTTTGAGACAGGTGAGTAAATGAGTAGAAACCGTTTTCAATAATTTGCTAAAGGCCTAACACACCCTGTTTATACATAGCTGCATATAATGTAGCATGCCTCAAGATTTTACATATATATGAGAAATCAATCTAATACGATAAATGCTAAACTGGGCATATCCTCTATTATCCATCTATGATTTATTGCATGATAAACCTTTTCTTCAAGTCAATCTGCATTAGCCTCCTGAATTTATAAGGCCTCCCATCACGACTTACTGTCATAGTAGTCATTCTATATATAGAAACAAAAATTAGCAGCATTTAGCTTGAGCCAAACAAACAAACACTAATCAAATTTTGAGCTCAGAATACATTAGCTATTTTCCACCCAGCTTGTAGATCTTTTCCTCTTATCACTTGGCTTTAGATTAGCTGCTCAGGATGACAGCAACAAAAAATAAACAAATAAAAATAACAGTCTCTGCACTGGCTAACTTGATTTCTTTGTATTTTTACTCGAGGCAAATTCCGAGAACAGCTCTGGCCAACTTGTGCCGTGGCAAATTAAATTCCGGAATAACTTGCACCATCATTTGTAGTCCACGCTACCTTTTTAGGCTGGTCTGAGGCCATTCAGTATTTGATGACATGGCCAACAAGGCTGCGAATGAATCTGTATTGCCTAATATGCACATGCTGAACTCTCTTACTGGACGCATAAATATAATTAACTGAAGAGACACCACATACAGGGTATTTGCACGTCGTTCACCCTACACTAAAGCACTCTCTTGTGCTTTTCACATGTGTATTGAGTTTGGCTAATGTGCTGGGGCTGGTTTTCTTTGCTTTGCTTTGCTTGCAGCACATTCCTTGGCGTATCTGGTTCCATAAAATTAGTCATGCTGTGAAATCACTCATACGCAGCGTATACGCAATGAAAATAATTCCGTTTGCATAAATCAGTGCGTCAAGGACGGCCCAGAACAGCGTGCTACCAATTGTTGCAACAGCCGAAATTAAAAGGAATTCATTAGCATAAAATATTTATTAGGCGAGCTATTGAAATTTCTTAGCTTTGATCTCTACAAAATGTCAAATAAAATTCTTTGAATATATAATTATATGTACACATATATATATGGGTATATATACATATTTATGAATCTCAGTGCGCAGTTATCGCACGAATGTCAGCGCTTTTACTTTCGCAAAAGAATTCTCGAGCAGAAAAGGAAACTAAAAGCGGAAACAAAGGCAGAAGAAAACATTTTTATTTGACTGCACTGACATCGAAACACCATTTGCCAGGCAGATGGCTTATTGTGTGCGGCAGCAGTAAAAGTATTTGGATACATTCCGGCTGATATCTGTCCGCCCACTTGCCTCATTAACCCCAGCCCAACATAGGCTTGGCTTAATTTTGGGCGCTGCGATTATATTTCCGTTATACGCAGCCCATAACAAATGCATAGACGAAKCAAACAAACAAAAGAAATCGTTAATAGGCAGCAGCACACCCAAGAATGGGGTAGCAACGACGCAACACATACCCTCACCAGCTGCAAAGACAATGCCAATGTGTTTGACATATATCTACTCTATAATTAATTAGTGCGAGCTGACACTACCCTAGGCTCTTAAGGATTAATTTCATATTAAGTGTTGGCAACAAAGTTTTAAGAGCTGCTCATCATTTAACGTGTCGCTGTGTGGGCGTTTTATTTCATGGAAATCTCATTCCTATTCCATTCAATTGGTTGTACAATAGCAACCGAATTTTAGCTTCGAATTTATACAAAACATACTTAGGGCAATAGCGGGAATTGAATTGACTTCAATTTGCACTCGAGGTTGATTGTTTTTACTGGTATATTCTTAAGAACACTTGGCACTCTGGCATAATCTGGCTAGCCTCAGGCAACTTTAAGTACAGCCGCAGACTTAAGCCAGAACGAACTATAAATATTAGATGGCTGCAATTTTAAAGGAAATTATGAGCTTTAGTGTCTGCTTTGGCTACTTTTTATATAGCTACTTCAAGTTTTATTTGTATTAAATATTTCATTCACTAATCAAAAGTTGAAGCCAACAAAAATTGCCTGTGGTTCGGGCTGCGGTTTTGGCAGGCGCCTGCTTTAAGGCTCATTTCGCGAGTTTTATTGCTCAGGATAAAATTTAGAGCTCCCCGAAAAGTTTGCAAGAGGGTGAAAACCATTTCTATTTATAAGCCTATATATTTAAAATTTGAGCTTATTCTAAAAAAAAAAAAAAAAAAACAACTAAATTTCTAACGAATATATAACGATCGCCTTTTGGTTATAGGACTTTAGCTCAATTCCCGCAGAAAGCAAAATTATCACAAAAGAAACATTAAATGCATATTTTTGGCTAAAAATTGTCTGATACTCTGAAAAAATATCTTAATAGTCTGAAGAGTCGAACTCTTTTAAAAGTGTAATCCCTATATAATTACAATATTTTGTTTGATATATAAATATGCCCAAGTCTGTTGAGATTTCCACATACCCTGCCCGTTCGAGTCGGCCTTTGGACAGAAGTAAAGTTGTTTTCCACGAGCCACGCCTTCAGGTGCATTTGGTGGGCTTTACAGGTGGCATTTGGCTAATGCAGATACAGCCGCTTCGTACCGAATCGTATCGTATCGCATCGCATTCTAATTGAGTTGCCAGGCACGCACATTGGCTTGGGGAAGTCGATTTTACGACAAAGCCGAAGCGCAGAAGCCATAAAATAACTTTCAATTATGTGTGGAATGATATGGTGAGTATTATGCCTGATTAAACCAGAGTCAGATAGACAGTGGGACGCTCAGACACCGGCCGAACAGTTAGCCAGAGGCATGACCATAAAGGGCCCAGCCGTCGCCCCAATAGAAGCAGCCCACCAAAGTCTATAGAATCAGAGAGCGCAGCTGGTGAGTGTGGAGGCCTGGGCCCTTTGGCTGGCCCCAGGTGAAACTTGCTACAACTTGCGCTTTCCATGACTTTGACAACAAAACGCAATGGCCAATAAAGCTGAGCGCCGAAGCGGAGGCCGCAAAGAGCGGCGCGTATGTCGCATACGCAATTCAATTAACAAAGTACCGACGTATAAAAACCAAGCGCTAGCCGGGCCACATTTGCATAACCCATTGAGTCGCCAACGCGTGCGCAGCTTGGATCGATATACTGAATATACACTGAAAGGATGCAGAGTTACGTCTGGCTAATTGGCGCCTTGACCGCGCTGGCCGCCACCGCCCAGGGCGCCACCACCCAAACGCAGCCGACAACGCCATCGGCCACACAGCTGGCCCTGGACATGTACCATGGCTGCCTCAAGGATCTGAGCATCTCGTGTGTGCGCCCCAAGGCGCTGCAGTGGTTCAACGCGGCGCTGCAACAGAACGAGGTGCGCCTAACTGACCGCCTGTCGGTGGTGCGCACCGCACAGCAGCAGCCGGAGGCCAGCAGCACCACTGGTCGTGCGCTGAATGCTGAGCAGCAGCAGCAGCAGCTGTTCGACCGCATCGACAGCTATTTGGCCAGCCACGCCCTCAAAATTCAGGCGCCCGAATACTTCCGCAGCTCCGAGGCACGCGCCCTGGTGCCCGACTATCTGCTGCAGAATCCCCTGACCCAAGGCGGTCTGATACCACTCGGCGCCGCCAATGAGGGTAAGTCTGATCCCAGCCGCAGCTTTAATCTGCATACTCATACGCTTACTCCTCCCCAGGACGAGGCATGATACGCAAGGCCGTGCTGCCCTTCCTGCTGGGCCTCAAGCTGAAGACGACGGTGCTGATGCCGCTGGTTCTGGGCCTGATCGCGCTGAAGACCTGGAAGGCCATGACTCTGGGTCTGCTCTCGCTGGTGCTGTCCGGTGCTCTGGTTATCTTCAAGATCGCCAAGCCCAAGATCGTTAACTACGAGGTGGTGCACTATCCCCATCAGGTGGAGCATGTGGTGCCGCACCACATCGAGCACATTGTGCCCCATCACATCGAGCACATCGTGCCACATCACATCGATCACCATCTGGACCACCACTTGGATCATCATGTGGATCTGCCCGTGGAGCACATTGAGCACTTGGAGCATCCCTCGCCTGCCTGGGACCCACATGCCTGGGCCCGCTCCTCCCAGGAGCCCCAGGACGCCCAAGACATGGCCTACGCGGCACAGAAGAGACGTTGAAATTGAAAATCGAAGACACGATGCGAGGACTTTTACAATTGGCTCTATTTTAAGTAGTGCAACGTATTGTTTTTATTTATTTATTTATTTATTTACTATTTATGAAATGTACAAAACAAAAAAGAAAAGAAAAAAACTGAAAGTAAGATAAAATCCATAAAAGGAAAACGCAAATCCCGAACATGTTTTGCAGACAGCTGAGAGGGGCGGGCATAAAATTGCAATAAAAACTATGCAAAAGTCATTTGGCTAATTGAAGGTATTGGACGCAAAAGTTTGTGGGGCCAACGTGAACTGTAATTAGCAAATGTAAGAGGCTCTTAATTAGGGCACTCCGAGTTACTTGCTAATGCTTGCATTAGCCAGGGTCTTAACGCACTTAACCTTTGCTGGCCAACACACACACACACACACACAAACACAAAAGAGAAAAAACCAAAAGGCAAACAAGAGTTGGCCCAATGAAAGCTGTAAATGAGTCCAACTCCAGCCGGGCCAAGTTGCGGCAACGGCTGCGGCCTTAAAGTATTTGCAGCGCAGAGCTTAAACGCAACGTGCCACGCTCTCAGCTTGACAGGCGCCACATCCTGCAGCCCATTTTCAATTTGTGTATTTGTTTTTTCGGCACATTCGTGAAACAAATGAAAACTTTTTTCTTTTTGGAATATTTTATTTTTGCCTTTCGCCCCGCTTATTTTTCAATATCACTCAACTGCCCATGGAACAGTTAAGCACTCACACGTGGCCATCGAGAAAGCTGCAGCGCCAGAGACAGCAGCGACAGCAGCAACGGCGGCGACAGCAGCAACAATGGCTGCGTGCAACTATGCAAAATGGCGCCAGCGCCAACAACAGACGCCACAGCAACCACAACAGCAGTGACAACGCCGCCACTGACAGCAAACACTGACAACAACAGCAACAACAACAACAATAGTTCAGGTTGCTCTGAGCGCATATGCTCGGCAGAAAGATACCCTAAGATAATAATATTCTGGGAGCTGATGTTACTATGAATATAAATGCTTAATACACGCTTATATATGTTTACGTGCTTACAAATATCATTATTAAAAATATTATTATCATTATTAAATTATGTCTACATTTATCCAGTGTACTAAGTAAAGCTGCTTCTTTCTGCTCTCGAAAAGTCCCACACTCTATAAGAAAGGCTTTCTTGAAGAAATTCCTTACATCTCGTTCAATAATTTTGTTTTTCCTATATTTTATTTCAGAAATGCTTAAGAATATCTGCTAAGACTATTTACATTCATTTTACAAGAGAACATAGCAAAGTATTCAAAACGAATTTAAATGAAATGCATCCTAAAAATGCATTTAAATACACAACAAATTTAAAGACTTCAACTACGAAAGTCTACGACCTATGCAAAGAAAATAAAATCGAAATATATATTATCGATTTTATGGTAATGCCGAAAAGTCGTAACTTTTTACTCTCAAAAAAAAATATAAATATAAAATTTAGAGTGTCTGTAGACGCGACAGGCATATAATATAAATAGCTAGACTGAAAGACAGACTTTAGCAGATAAACATACATATGCATTGACAAATATTGTCAAAGTCAAGTCAAAAAAAAAAAAAATTAAATAAATAAATAAATAAATTGATGTCTGATGACACCTACTCCACATACTACCGTTAGCCCTTTGCAATCACACCCAGGGCGTAAATATTGGCTATAGAGTATATGGCTTCTCGTGCTGGCCAATACTTCATTGATATTTGACTTGACTGCTATCGCTTGGCCGTTTCTACGCAACAATTTGATATGCAAAATGAACGAAAAAATAAAAAATAAAAAAAAATACAAAAAATTAACTTTTCCAATTTCATTGGCAAATGTTGGGGCTTCAGCGGCTGCCAAAATGCGCTCGGAATTGCAAATCAAGGGCCAATGCGTGGTGAAACTTTGGCTCCACCAAATAAGTTAACAGTCAGCCAAAAAAATAAAAAACTAAATAAAAATAAAAAACATATATGCACTGAATTAAACTGATATCAATTCCGATTTCGTGGCAGGCCAAAAAGCGTAATCAATATACGAGATTCATAATTTACATGTTGCAACACGCATATTTCGATATGCAGCGCGTGTCGTTGGCGTGTGTAGTTAAGTGGCTGTGTGTGGCTGGGTGGTGCAGGTGGTGCGCTGGTGGCGTTTCGTATCTACAGCGCATCTTCTGTCACTTTCGCTTTCGTTAAGGAAAAACACTTTCTACATCATTGGCATGGACTCTGCGTAGTCGCGCTGTTGCTCAACTTTGGCTCGAGTCGCAGCTCAGTTTTTAATTATTAATTATAAATTGTTGTATTTATTAATTACACAATTTGTTGTATAAAATATGCGTTGCAATTATTTTATGGCTAGTTTTTGAGCAACCACTGAACGGCCTATGACTATTCGCTGCGTGCTGCTTACCAAAAAAAAAAAAAAAAAAATGTTGCCTATATTTCTGCTTGCCACACAATGTGGCAGGAATGATGACTCTGAGTGAAATTTTATGGATGAGATTTTTGCTCATTGGGGATTCTGCCTAGAGCATATTTTATGGCAATCAAAATATGATTGATATGGTGATGATATATTACTGGGCAAATAATTAGTTACTGTAGTATATACTAAATACTTTGTTTAAGAACATTTTAGTTCTTAACACTTTAATACTTTGATTTAGCACATTTTACTTCTTAACAGTTTAGTTGAGCGTAAACTTATTTCATGTAACATGTTTAGAGAAGAATGTATTTCTTATATGAAAGTCAATATTTAATATAGAAATCTATATCTGAATATATATACAGAAGCTTATATTCTTCTATTGAGCTACATACATATACTCAAAATCTTCAACCTTATGTGTTTAACTGTAGTATTTGGATAGTACATTAATTTAATAAAATTATAAATAGGAAAATAAAAGAGTTAGATATCGGTTTAGTAATTCAAAATTTATCCATAGAAAAAATTAACGCATAATACATCATCAATATCTATATGCCCAATAGTTACCTCTCTTTTACCTAACTATCCAGCATATAATACATATTATACCAAACCAGCACCTATTTCAGTTTCAAGAATTCATTAATTCAGCTTGTCTTAGCCCTCACTTTCAACTATTTAATCATTCTTAGACATTGTAGCAGCCAAAACTTGCATTCATTAATCATAATGATGCAGTGAAACCAAACATTAAACATAGTTAGCCAGCTGAAAATGCATTTGTGTGCAGAGCGTTTGCCTGTAATCCTCTCGCTCACATTGCCTTTTAAAGAGTGAATAACGTGCAATTCAAACGCAAAGCTAGTTAACTATTCAAAAGCATACGTAAATGGTGGCCTAATAGCACTTGCTGCTCGTTTAGAGTTTTCTTCAATTTCCTTGGGCCATGTTTGGAAGCAGTTTGGCGTCTCAGACCTTTTTCAAAATCCAGCAGGAAAATGCATTTAATATCAAAGTAAAGTAAAGTTAACCAAATGAAACGCAATGCTCGAGTCGATAGGCGGAGAGCGGCACGCGTTTGAAATAAAACCGTATTAAGTATACGACACGTGGTGCTCGGGCACGCACACGCGCTGCCCACAAAGCCCTCAGCAGCAACAGCAACGGCAACGGCAACGGCAACAGCAACAGCAACAGCAGCAACAACAACAACGCCAACAACAACAATGCAATGTTGCTCTGCCTCTTTCGTTGTCTGCTTCATTTATGTCTTCTTCCGCCATGTTTCTTTTGCTTTGCGTACGACCAGCCAGCCGACCGGGGGCCCGACCGAGTCTCACACAGAAACATTGGGCAAGTATAAAAATCGTGAACAATAGAAAAACGATTATTAAACTCAATTGTGCCAGCATTGAGGCGAGTTGTCTGTTGTGTGGTGCCCAGCGTCAACTACAAATACGAAAAAAGCAAAAAATAAAAATAAAACACATAAACCAAATAAAATGGCAAAATTCCTTCTTCTGGTTGTGGGCATTGCAGCCCTGGCAGCAGCCGCTCAGGGCGCCACAGCGCCGCAATTGCAGCGCCTGATAGCCGAGGAGCAGAGCAAATGCGCCAGCGGCCAAGACTCGATGGCGTGCATCAAAGAGCGTGCCATGCGCTTCGTGGACAACGTGTTGAGCCAAGACAGCTTCAAGGTAAGCAGACACACACATTTCCCTCCCTCCCTCTTCCTCACTCTCCCACCCTCTATATCGTTCTCTTGCAGCTGTCCAACTTGGAGGTGCACACAAATGGCCAGAAGGTGGCTCCGGTCAGCGAGGCACGCGCCAGCACCAGCGACGGCTTCCTGGATGCCATTGAGAACTACATGAGCGGCCATGATGTCAGTCTCAATCTGCCCTTGGCCGATGCCAAGATCACCGTCTCGGCACGCAATCTGGCCAACGACGAGCTGAGCTTGAATCTGCAGCTGAACAATGACAATGCCAGCGATATCGAAGCCAGGGGTAAGAAGGGCAACATCTTCAAGAAGGGTGGGTTACCTCCAGTCAAGTGAATAAGCAGCTAAACTGAAACACAAACACCTGCACACCTGCATCCTCTATGTATAGGCAAGAAGCACCGTCTACGCAAGCTGGCCATGCCCATTCTGGTGCTCATTCTGCTGAAGGCCATCACCGTGATACCCATGGCAATTGGCATACTGAAGATCAAGGCGTTCAATGCGCTCGCCCTCGGCTTCTTCTCCTTCATTGTCTCGGTTGGTTTGGCCATTTTCCAATTGTGCAAAAAGGTAAGACCGTTCAGCAATTAAAAACCGCATCTCTGTTATTTTTTAGGCATTCGCCGGCTGTGGTAATTAGTGAGTGCGAATGAGAAGAGTTGATTGAGTTGAGTGGAGAAGAGAGAGAGGAGAGAGGAGAGGGCGGCGGGTTTATTTTCAATTACAATATTACATAAATATTAGCACGTATGTATAGTTATACAAAAGAAAAGGGCGCGTGCTCTGGGTAAGTTGTACCAAGAAAAGCAAAAAGCAACCCGAGTCCACAACCCTCCTCCTCAACATCCTCCTTAAAAGCACCCACTAAAAAGCACAAAAAGCAAACCCCAAAATATGCTGCTCATATATTAAAACGAAATCTTTGCTCTGCTCTGCTCTCTCCCCACACACACACACACACACACACACACACAGATTGCGCATGATCATCATCACACCGCCCACATCACCGCCCACGGACCGTGGGACGGCCGCAGCTTTGGCGCCGCGCTGCCCGCCGCCGTTGTGGAGCAGCCCCAGCAACAGGCCCAGGAGCTGGCCTACCAGGCCTATGCCTAATTCCTGAAGCCGCAAGAGCAGGCCACAAAAATGTTGTTGATTGTTAGAAAATGAAAATTGTTTTTGTTTTTTGTGACTTGATTTGAGCGCATTCTTTAGACACCCCCCTCTATATATATATGTATATGTAATAACTATTTATTTATTTATTGAAAAGACAAAAGAAGAAAAAACAAAAGAAAAGAAGAGAATGAGCAAAACACAAATACCAAAACAACACAAATAAATGCTTAAAAATTTAAGTGAATTATATTAATTTAGTGTAGCCTACTTAGGGCTGGCTGCCTTCCGTCAAGTGGGCCCGGCCCAAAGTTTCACTGAGCCTCAATTATGCATGGGGCCAAGACGCACTTGGGGACGTCCTAATTAGCCAAATTTAAGTGGCTCAAATTCTTTGGCGCTGCGCGTCTAATTAAATATTCCAGTCTACACACTTGGCTCGATTAATGCGATGAACTTGCCTTTAATTTTAATTTTTAAGTGACTCCGTTTCACTCGACCGATGAAAGTTGCGCCCGAAAGTGAAAGTCTTTGCATATTCTAATCGATAAGCGGTCGCTGGGGCAGAATGGACCGCAGCCAAAGTGCAGCGCCGCATGACAAGAGTCGACCTAAAATTCTCAGGCTTCACTGAACACTTCCACACACATTTGCGTTTCATTTAAACCAAGCAATAAAGGACAAATATTATGCCAGCAGCTGGTCCACACGCATTCCTCTGGCCAATAAACCGTACAAATTGTTGAGCAGCTAGCCACTAGGCCGTGCTGGCCAAGTGGAAAGACTTTAAAAACTCGGCTGACAATTTGAAATGCTCGTGCGTGGATGGGGGGGAAAGCTAAAGCTGTGGGACTGTTGGCTTCGCACTTCGTTGCGCTGCTTTCATAACAAGTTGGCATTCAGGAGCAAATGGCATAGCCACACGAGCAAGTGAATATTTATGGCTTGTTTACACTCGGAAATGCCCTGCACTCGTTAAAAGTGGATAGTAAAAAGCTCAACTACTTTTGCCCATGGGTCACTGACGAAAGGCAGATCGTAAATGAAGTCGAAATGGTGTAGTGCAGCTCTTAGTTCCATCTACGAATTTCTACATACGGTTCTCTTTCCTGTATTCTCTATTTGTAATCCATCCATCTATCTCTGTCTTCCATTTATCTATTTATGCTCTTATCTGCGTACATTATTTATAATACCAAGATTTAGAGGCATTCACCTATATATACATATAGTCTCTACCCAAATGAATAAATCACAGATATTTAAACTAACCACAGATATCTATCAAATAAATATCTATTCAAAAGGGGCATTGGGCTCTGTCGAGCTGTCTGCCAGGTATACTTTAGTCAGGCATTTGTGTCACTTTTACTTGTTTATTTTCATTTTTCGTTTTATTTCCTTCGACTGCAGTTTCGATTGCTTTTTCAATTTTGGCACGCATTGAGTGAAGTGTCAACGAAATTTCTTTTATCCGATGATAACAGATCGTGTGACGCTGACAACGACACCTGTTGCATTATTCACATTATCAGTTAGGTAATCTATGCGTGGTGTCGGCGGTTAACTCTTTGCTTTTTTATTTGTTTACATGGCTTTGGTTTTTTTTGTTCAGGGATATTACGAGATCGGCACTGCTTTATAATGTAGAGCAATTTTAATATAGTTTCAGTTTGTAATTAGACTTGATGAGTTGTATATTTTATAAATTATTGTCATAATAAATAGAAACTCCGGTAATGTGTAGACAACGCAGAGCAATGCTGCATAAGAAATAAGTTTTCTTAATGCCAAGCACTCGACTCATAATTTCATTTCATATTCCAATAGTTTGGCTTTTTTGATGACCCACATAACAACGCGCCCGAAGTGTGTTTGAAATTATTTGATATGAACAATATTATTTAGAGTATATATTTAGTTTCGTTTCTTAATTACAGCAGAATCCGGTTGTATTGACTCCGCTTGTAGCGTGTGGTCCCCACACTAACTTATATGATTATTTTTCGGGTATAACGACGGCTCCTTGAGTGTCGTTATAACCAGATTCTATTGTATTTGATTTAGGCGATATTTTTGATAGTAGATATTTAAACAATATAATACGATAATATATCGAAAAATGCATACAATTGTTTTATTATTTACTAAGGAACTATATATATATGTACCTATATCATAATAAATTGAAAATGAGTTTATGAGATGCGAAATTACCCAAAGGCATCGTACATTCCATCAGTGTAACGAGCTGCTCTACAATCTACAATTACGAACGACCTCCCAGAGTCCTTCGGCATCAAGAATTATACTGCCAAGCATCTGTTGTGATTTTGAACCCTGACCTCATCTAGAGGAACTTTTCCTTTTACTTAGTCAACAAACTTTCAAGCGATTCAGAAGCTTACAAAACTTTTATCAGAGAAAATTAAATTAGATTCCTTCATTAATGAGAAGGTTAAGAAATGTGTAAAGAAAATTAAATTTATTGATTTCTTCACTTTCGTTGACCCACATTGAAGGGCTGTGGCGCAGCACTGAAACGTGTCATAAATATATGTGTCAAAAGTGCCAGCAGAAATCCTATTTCGTAATCCCGCACAGAAACAAAAGCAAGCAAAATGACAATAATTCGATTCGCAGTTCCGCATCGACGATAAACAAATGGCCTAATGCGTATCAAATGGCCAAAATGGACAAATGGCCAATACCAAAGCGTAGACAAGTTCCGTACTGATTTCATGTATCGAAATTTGACACAATACGCTGAAAAATGTACGTGCCCTGGACCTGGGTCCGCCATGGGCCATGTCTTGGGTCTGGCTTTCATGTGCTGTTCGCGTAAGAGTTGCCTCCGCGCATACTAATTGAGGGAAACAAAAGTTATTTTCATTGGTCGTCGATAATGCAACTTTGATCAGCGCGCTGCGAGCGGGGGCTTGAGTGATGGCGGTGCTGCGGGGTCGGAGGCGGAGTGTACGAAGTGTTCGTATAGCCGGTATGGAAAGCGAGAAAGCTTGCATGTGGGGCTAGGGCTAGGGCTAGGGAGTCTCTGGGCTGGTCAACCCAGATATCAAAAAGCCGATCCAACACAGTTTGGTGAAAAACTTTGGACACCCCGAAGAGCCAGAGCCAAGGTTCGGCAACGGCTTTCGTCAGCCCGACGCTGCTGCGCGCTGCGTGCTGCTGCCGCTGTCCAAAAATATATCGGTGCGCTCCAAAACTTATGTCGAGTGCAGTGACTACGGCTCCTCTGTCGCGTCTCTCAGTATAAAATCGTCGGTAGTGGCACAAGTGCTCAACATTGTCGTCGCATCGGCATCGCAGTGAACACTACGCGCTCTGGTAGTGTATATAGGCATACTTATATATAGATAGTATATATACATATATTGCAAGTGGATATTTGAAAATCTTGTCAAGATGGCACAACGTTTCAAATCCTTCATCGCGTTCGGTAGTGTGCTGCTGCTGGCGGCGTCTGTTCAGGGTGCTGCCATTGATAATGCGGTCACGCCCCGCATCCACAGCTCGGATGAGCTGATCTCGACCATTGTGGATAAGTGCTTCCATGCCAATGCCATGCATTGCCTGAAGGAGAAGGTGCTCACCTATCTGGACACGGTCGCCAACGTTGAGGAGGAGGTCAGCGGTCGCGCCTTCAATGATGATGTCATCGATAAGGTCATCGTCGATCGTCTGGCACGCATTCTGCGCACCAACGAGCTGCGTCTCCAGCTGCCAGAGACCTTCTTCGCCAGCTCAGTGATTTCCTATCGGTCCGATCGTGGCTTCGACCTGGAGTTGCCCAAAGAGGAAGGTGTGTCAGCTTCGCTCAGCTCTTTGCTTTCAGCCAGATTTGTAATCTCAACTGTCTTTCCCATTTGGCAGGCCGTGCTGAGAAGAAGAACAAGGACAAGCTCTTGCTGCCTCTGTTGCTGCTCATGAAGTTCAAGCTGAAGGTCATCATGCCCATTCTGTTGGCTCTGGTCAGTCTTAAGGCCACCAAGGCTCTGATCCTGTCCAAGATCGCCATCAAGTTGGTGCTTGGCTTCCTCATCTACAATCTGATCCAGAAATTGGGTGGCATGAAGATGAACATGGTGCCCATGCCACCACCAATGCCAGCAGCTGAATACGGTGTGCCAAGCACCACTGCCTCCTCGTACGATCCCAGCAGCTGGGAGCCCATGAGCGGTGGCCCATATGCCCGTTGGGACTCACAGAATCTGGCCTATAGCTCATATCACCCCAGCAGCTCCTCCTCGTACAGCTCCGGCTCATCGTCCGGTGCCTCCACCTCGTCCAGCTACAGCAACTCATCTTAGATCTTAGATCACACTGCCGCTGTTAATGTACATACCAAGGAACTGAGTGCCGCACCATCTGCCCGCGGGGGCGTGGCACTTTGAGTAAGCAGACCAAATGGAACCGGAACATGCCTAGGCCATAAAACTAGTTGTTAAGTTTAAGCGCTCGACTTTTAGCCATTCTATTGATTTCCATCTACTCCATCTACCATCTTCCGCTTCCTTTCACGCTTCTTCTCTATCGCTTCTTCCTAACTGCTTTCGCTTTCATTTCTCTGCATTTTCCTCTAGCTAAACCCTTCTCCTTCTTACCCTTCAGAGATCGACCAAAAATCAAGAAAATTAATTGAAATATTATTTATTTAATTTATTAAAAATTGCAAAAATTGAAAAGTAAATATGGTTTTTTAATTTTATATAATGTCGTGAATGCATATTTGTCTACAGAAAAATGCTTAAAGCACCGAAACCTGTTTAGTTTTGACTAAGCTATGAATGCAAAATATTTCTAATTTTTTACCAAGCACTCAATAAATATACCAGAAAGTAATTTACTTAAAAATTTGAAAAATAAAAACAATATTTATTTATTATACAAGGTGAGCTTTGCCCATCACGAAAGTAGCTTTAATTTTCGTAAAATTATCGCAGTTCTGATTATATAGGTAGTTATTAGGAAGTTCAAATTATATTTGATCACATTATTTACATAGGCTCTATTCAAATAATAATACACCTTGTTTCGATGCACTTATTTTCTATATTAGCCGGATATATTAAATACGTAACAAATAAATAATTTTAATTTGATGACTGCAGATCAAACAAATCGATTTGCCTAATTTGCAACACTTAAATTTGATTGCAAAACTAACATTCGTGATACCCTAGATAACCTTTTCTATAGTTACTATAGCTGTCGCCAGTTTTCAAGTGGTAAAGAGCTAAGTTTTGAAACACAATGCAAGAGCTACAATAGAGATATTAGCCAGCACTTGTCGGATTTAATGTTATGAGTTAGCATGTTAGAAGCTCAGCGCCAATTACCTACACATTGAATAAAATAGAACTAAATGACCTACTAACTGTTTCTGGCATATATATACATACATTATAACTTTCATGATTTATTTTTGTCGGCTTTTATTTTTCCCAGAGTCACGCAAATTTCGGAGCAAAAATTGCGTTGACACACGCTAAGCTTTTCAATTTAAGCAGCTAACAGAGCACCGTAATACTAAAACAAGATTATAATCTATTCCCAGATATTCAAGCTTATTTCTGTTTGTTTTCATAACTTAAAGTAATTATTATAAGGACGAATTCCGGTAGGGATATGGGCTTTAGTTTGTTAAATCTTACATTCAATTAAGGAAATGATAATTATGTTAAATATATTATTTTGTCCTAGCACTAGGTGTATTATTTATGTTTCTATTTTTCATAAACCTAATTGAATGCCTAAAATCTGAATTTCCATGCCTTAATAATATATATATA